AAAAAAAAAAAAAGTTAATCAGCTCAACTCCCAAATTCTAAAAAAATAGCTTTTTTTCTTTCCTAGCTTTTTATATTCATAAAATAACATAATATGTAAATATTTTAATATTTTAACATGGCTTTGTCATAAATTTCAAGTTTTATCATTTTATAATGTAATCATCTACAAAGTTACCAAAAAGAAATTTTGTTGTTATAAATTCAATGGAGTTTTGATAAAATACTGAATATATTACTGAATGCTTTATAAATAAGACTATGTTTTAACAAGGTTCTCTTGGTACTTCAGAAAATAATTAATACTTCCATAACATGGTAAAAAGAAAGCAAAATAAATTCCAGATGAATCAAAGAATTACATGTAAAAAAAAAAAAATCACATTATAGAAAACCAGTCGAAAATCTATTTGAATATTTACCCAAGTTTTAGAGACTTTCTTAAACTGAGACCTTATTTGGAAAAGAAAAATCGTAAGAGGAAAGACAAACAGACAACTAAGAAAAGCTTTCCTGTGTTAAAATATAACAAAATTAGAAGGAAAATAACAAATTAAGTACAAATTATTTACCTTATTTTTAGCAAATTTTTTTTCAAGACAATATTATTCAGTGAGGATGTAATAAGATGGACAGTGTAATGGGGTGGTACAAGTATCAATAGGTACAATTTTTTCGTGAAAGGAATTTGACAATATGTATTAGAAGTCTTAAAATTGTTTGGTTAACTGAATGGGACAATCATGGGCTTTGAAACCCAGAATGAGCCAAGTATTTCACAAACATCCGCCTCCCAGTAAAACATGACTTTGTACTGTTATTCCTACTTTTTTGTTGTTGTTGTTCTCTATTTAGATGTTAAAACAGAGGACCAGAAAGGGGATGTTGCTGGGCTGGAGCGCACACTGCTTTTAACTAACAAAAGTGGAAGTTGAAGGCAAGGCAGAAGAGAATGGATTTTATTCATCATATTATTATACTGACTCTCAACTGAATGACTAGTTCAGTACTTCAATAAACACAAAGGAAGTTTATTAATTTACCCAAATCTTGTCTATACAAGATCTCAATGTGCATTTTAATGTTATTTAGAATATGATAGAGATAGCTAATTTGCTTTATAATTTCATCATTAAATACAACTCATTATAAATTGAATACTTATATTTGAAAATAAAACTCCTTCACCAAAATATGTCCGGTACCATCCACATCCTACCCAGCCAATCTCATTTTCCCATGTATTATAGAAATAGAGATTTTAATAGTTTATGTATTTAATGATTACAGAGAAAGAAAAGGGCATTAAGTAGAATAAACAGCTTATCTAAAGGTACTTTATATTCTCTTGGAAACAGAAACTGCTGAAGGTATGTTTAACAGGAGTTTATAAATGCCCTGCTCCTGTGATACTAAGTCTGAAGAGTTTACTTTTCATGGATTTTATATTACATTTTGACTGCATATACTACCTTAATCATGGCAATAGTTTAAACATATTTATAAAACTTAAGCTAACTAAAATATTTTAAAAACTGAAGTGAATGATCTCTTAATTGAAATTTGAGCATGGAATTCTCAAATTATGTTACTATCAGAAAGAAAATAAATTAAGGTTTCATGAGCTGTTGTTTAATATTTTTGAAACCCTTAATATGTAAACTCTATTTGACACTATGAAAAGGTCAAGTGATATACAAGTGTTTCTAAATAATATTCCAAGTAAAGTTCAATGTATTGAAATAGACGAAACTGAAAGAAACTTAAATTACCAACATTTAAAAGTCTTACCTACTAATATTCTATTCTTCTTGATCCCACTTTTTATTTCATCATCAATCAAATCGGTAAGCACTTGACACATTATATTGATTGATTCAAGGTGTTCTGGGCAGTCATTAGATATTTTAAGTCTGTCAAACCATACACTGGAGATTCCTCCTTTCATAGGAGTATATGGCCTGTTTGTAAAACCAAAACAAACAAACAAAATCAAAAAGAAAACAAAGGAAAAGGGAATGTTATTAAAATGGATGTTTCAATTTCTAAAACAACTACTGTGTTGAATAATTTCAATTTCCTCCAAGTTTTATAAATTAAAGAGTTCATATTGAAAACAGCCTCATGCATATTGCATTAACTTACTTGCCTATACTTACACTGATCCCATTAACATTTCTTAATGCCAACTCATCATCTTTTCCTATTCTCTCCATCTTTTCAGATTCATAAATTCTTCAGAGAATTCCCATGAAAAATGAATTATATATAAT